TGCTGCACAGGTGTGCCTGCTGGTCCCCACTTATCAGAGGAGGAACTGAGAGATGCCCAGTCACACATGAGGCCCGGCATCTCAGGGCCGAGCAGGGTGGTGCTAATGGTGGAAGCAGACTGTCCACTACACCATGTGGTTTGCTCACCTTTGCCCAACCCCTGCTTGATTCAGAAAACAGAGTTGCTGTCCTCACAGAGGGCTCTTGGATCTCTAAGAATGCTGAGACCTTGACCGAAGGAGGCGGCACAGGAGAGATGGGATGATGACCACAACCAGACACTGGGCCCAACCTGTAACCGCCACCAGACTGGTCCCACTTCCCAACCTCTGCAGCTCGAAGGGCTCTCCAGGGGGAGACGGAGGGATGGCATTCTCAGCCAAGGGGACCCAGGAGCAGAGGCAGGGAGACGGGCCTGCACGCTCCTGCTAGGCACAATAAGCACCAAGGGCCTGGGGAAGGGGGAAAGGGTGATAAGGAGCCGGAAGGACCCAAGAGAGGAAGCACAGGCTGTTCAAGCACCGCCAGCTTGTCTTCAAGCCCGGGAAGGAGGCTCATCGTCGCCTCAAACACAGGCTCCCTTCCCATCACTGGCTCTGGCACTGACCCCGATGAACTCTGAGTCAGACCTGGCTGGACCAACCGCCAACGGATCCTCCAAGACAGACAGAAACTCAGCCGTCCTCACAGCCTGGCTCACTGGGGCTCCCCACTGCCTGGCCTGGGCCCCAGACTTTAAAAGGCCTGGATGCAGGCCAAGGCGTCTGGACTTTCAGCTGGGGGCAGTGGGGAAATCCAGAAGACCCTGAGACTGGGCGCTTTCCTGCAAATGGCACTAAGGGTCTCCCATCTTCACACTAGGGTCACCCCTCACTCCTTCCCTCATGAGGACAAGATATTTAGAGTACTTAGCAGGAGGCTGGCACATGCTCAATAAAGGCTTTCAATGTGCTGTCCCGTCTGCCCAGAACATTCGCTCCTCCCTGCCCCAGCTTCCCCCACCAGGCTGATTTCTTCTTATTCAGGGCTCAGCTCTCCCACAAGCCTTCCCTGACCACCCAATTTGAAATTCTCCATCCCCTCTCCTCACCAGGATCTGTTATTCAGAGCTGCTCCCCTGGCCCCAGCAGGCAGTCGACACCCTAGGGAAACAAAACTGTCCCACAGGTCCCTTTACTTGTTGTACTTGCTATTTTGGCCTTCTTTGGCACCCCAGGTCTGTGTGCCCCTACGTCCTGACAAAAAAGCAGCTTGTGAGTGCCTTCTCCTCTAGCTCCAGGCGCAGCTAGGAGCTGCTGCCCTCCTCTGCCATCCACTCACCCCAGCCAGCACCCACCAGCCTCTGGCCCTATTCCAGCCATGTGACCAGAGGTAGCCATCCTTGTCCTCAGTACCCAGCCTTGAGCCCCAGTCTGTGCCACAGAAGCCAGCCTCGGCCCGAGCAGGCAGGGGAAAAGCATCTTTAAGTGGGGCTGCGGCCCAGTCCCCCCCGCCCCCCTTCCGAGAGCCAGAAGGCCAGCCAGGGAGAGGAGGAGAGCATGGCCCAGGTGGGATCAGTTCTAGGAGCTACAGGGAGACTGGGGGAGGGCAGGGAATGAGGATGACAACCCATCATTAAACCCAGGCCTGGGAGATACCACTTCACCCAGCACTCTGTGGCTCTTGCCTCAGGGGCTGAAGATCCCAAATCAATGTTCCCAGGACACAATGGTAACAATTAGCCCAGAGAGAAGGAAGGAAAGCTGTGGTGGTCTGACCCGGGACCCAAAAGGGGAAAAGACAAACCAGGCAAGCAAAGCAAGATGCAGCTCTGGAGCCAGGCCCCATCCTCCTAACTGCCCCCCCTTGCCAGCCTATAGTTCCGTGACCCCTGACCTCTTGGCTCCCAGAAGGGGTGTGTGTGAAATGAGGTGTGACCAAGCCTCTGAGAAAAAAGCTTCCACTATTCCAGCCCTCTGGGACACACCAGAAAAACTGTCCACGAAGGTACGGACCTATCCCTTGGAATGGGCAAGAGAAAAGGCCTGGGCACAGAACTCCCACCAGGCAATCCAGAACAGTGCGAGCTCCTCCAGTCATGCCCCTCAAAAGCCAGCCTGGGAGACTGTGGGTTTGAGCTGAGCGCCAGTCAATCCCAGTCTGCCACTGTCTAGTTGTGTGACCTGGGACAAGCCACCTGGAGCCTCAGCTTTCTCCTACCATGGAGAAGGCCTAAGTTGACCCGGTGGTGGTGAGCCATCAATGAGCTCATCCCAGGGCCTGACCCAGGAAGAGCACCCCACAGGCAGAGCCCTGGGGCCAGTAGCCCCAAAGGCCTGGACCAGGGTGTAAATACTGGTTTTGATCTCCTCAGTGGCCTGCCTTCTCCCCATCAGGAGTCTGAGACACAATGAACAGAGCTTTATAGGCTCACCTCCCCGTTCTTCACCTCTGGGAAGCTGGTGCCTGGGAGGCCACGGTATAAGATGGTGGCTGTGAGGTCCCATCCCTTAGGTTTGAGCCCCAAGGCTCTGCTCACAAAAAGGGGAGAAAGAATCTAGTATCCCAAGATACTCAGGTAAGGGCCGTTGGGCTGCCTCTCTGCAAATGCATATGCCTGAACTAGGTGTTCTAGACTTTCTCAAGCTGCCCACACAAACACCCACCGGGTGCGCCAGCACCTTGGAAAAGCCAGCAGAGGCTCGTCCACAAGGTAGATCGGAGACCCAGAGCCCGACTGGGATGAGGAAAAGAGGAAAGACCCCAGATCTGGCCCAGAGCTAACACCTGGTGGGGGAAGAGGTGGCATGTGCCTTTTGATCACACTAGTTTCTCGGGACGCCCCGTTTCGCAGCCACTAGCCTAGCGCAAAGGCGCTGCTTTCCCCCTCTCCCAAAGCTCCTACAGTAGTTCCTCAACCTACCTGATGGCCCCCGTATCTGGCCTTCCCCCCCAAACATCTCTCCAAGCCCTAACCTCATATGACCCCTGCAAACATCTCTGGGATCTCCTATCAGCCCCCACCCGAACTAACTCCGCCCACACCCACCCTGCCCCACTTCCTGAGCTTCTCCTCAGCCGCCCCCAGGCTTGTAACCTGACCCACCCACCTCCTCCGGCGCCCGGACACTACCTGCAAGTCGGCCCCTCCCCGCCCCCCCTCCGGGCCCTTTCCCTCCGGCCGCGCCGCTCTCCCCTCCTCCCCCACTCGGCCGACCCAAAGCCCGACTCCTCCTCCCCCTCCCCCCCGGCCTCCCCGGGCGCCTCCTCACTTTTCCTCCTCCGGCCCTCCAACTTCCCGGGCCTCCGGCACCTGCCCCGGCCCAGCCTCGCGCCTCCCAATCGCCGAGAGCGAGGTGGGGGGAAAGTCTGGGCCCAATCCCACCACCCCCAAACCCCACGGCCCGGCCCGGGACTGGACGCTCAAGGCCGCTAGTGAGGGCCGGGCCTCTCCGCACTCGCCGGTCCGGGCACGGTGCAGGTTGCGGACCCGGCTCCTTTTCTGTCGGAGGAGCCCCCACCCGGCCCTCCCCGCTCAGCCCTCAACCGGCCCTCGGATGCCCTCGGGCCGCCCCGGCGAGACGAGGCCGGAACCGGGCCTGGGGCGGGCCGCCTCACCTGCGCCGTGGCCGCGCTCCGGGGGCTCCCGGCGGGCTCCGCAGCGGCGGCTGGAGCCGGGCCTGGGCCCGGGGCGCGCCCCCCCTGCGCCGGGGCCTCGGCCTCCGCCTCCGCGGCCTCCGCGGCCTCCGCCTCAGCAGCAGCGGCAGCCGCGGCGGCCATTCATTGTGGGCCAGGCCGCCCCAGCCGAGCGCCGAGCGAGCGCAAGCCGCGCCGCCGCCGCAACCCGGCCGGGGAGGAGCGGCCGCGGCCCCGCCCCCGCACCGCCCCAGGCCCCGCCCCCGAGGCGAGGCCAGCTGAGTGCCGAGAGCGTCCCTTCTTCCCATCTCCGTTTTCTGCTTTCATCTCCCGTTTTCTGCCTTCGCTCCTTTGGGTCCCCGCCAGTACCTTGGGTCTGCTGGAGAGTTCGACTCCCGACCCTGACACTTCCTACTTTCTCGACCTTGGACAAGTCTCTTTGCCTTTCGGAACATTCGTTTCCTGTAAAACGAAAACAACAATGAATTCTATTTATTGTGCCAGGCACTGTTTTAGGCTCTTCATGGGAATTATCTCGTTTAAACTTCACAGTAACATTTTTAAGTCGAAATCGTAACACACTTGTACACACTTTATAGAAAGGCACACACAGCTGAAAAAACCTGCTCAAGATCACCAGCAAGTAAGTGGTGGCAGGTGGCAGGAATCAAACCCAGGCTCAAGAATCGACAATAAAAGTTAACGATTTTGTGTTTATGCCAAGCCAGATTCCGTTCTAGGCATTTAACCTGCACTAACTCGTTTAAAACTCACCACAACCCAGGAACGAACGTTAAAAAGTTCTGTCCATTTTGCAAATGAGCAAACTTAAGCATAGAGAGGGATAAGAACAAGTTGTGAAGCGAGCTGGGACTGGAACACAGGCAGTGCAGCCCATTACGCTCTCCTCCGGTCCTACACCAGTTAGAACCTATCGAGAGCTTATTACTTGAAGAGGGACTGCTTTGCACAATTTCCAGGCATTCTGTAGTTCAATCTTTGCTCTATATTGGAAACTAGCATTCTTATTTAGCAGATAAGGAAAGTGAAGCCCAGAGAGTTTAAGTAACTTGCCAAGACCATGTGGTAGGATTGGGATTCAAACTCAGTAAATCTGACTTCAGAGCCTTAATTGTTCCTGCAGAGTGGCCTGAAATAGTGTGCTTACAGCACTCAATACACAGAAGCCGATCAGTAGGTGTTGAATTTCTCCGCTTACCGCCCCCTTTCTGAGCCTCACCTTCCTCATCCGTGAAATGGGGCGAGTGACGCGTCCCCTCCCGGGGGAGCCGACGTGATTAAGGTTATCCACACTACTTTCCGAGCTTTCCGCCGTGCATTTTGATCCCGGCCACCCACTGTAGGTAGCATCACTGATTGGCTAAAATCGATCACGTGACCTGCCCTCCCACTGTGCCAACATGGCGACGCCCAGGTGTAATCCGGGAAACGTGCACCCAGACTAATTCGGTCTTCGGCGCCTCGAGCGAGGGTGAGAAAGGCGTGGGCGACGCGGGGAAGGATACAGGCCAGGGTCCGGCCCGCTCGAGGGCTTCTGGCTTCTCAGGGGCCGGTCTTTCCGAAGATGGGGTGTGGTGTCACCTTACTGAGGCCGCAGGGTCTTCTTAATCTTGACCGATGTATAGGCCACCGGGCCCGGGAACACAGCTCTCTGAGGCTCTTCCTATGCCCTCCCCCGCCCCCCGAACCAGGTTTGGCGGGCAGAGGCTCCCGCGGATGTCCCGTGCGAGAATCGGTCTGTGGCTGAGGCTGACTCTCCGCTCCGCCTGCAGTCCCTATAGAGCCAGGTGTATGGAGGGGCAGCCGCCAGGGCTACCGAATCCGGCCGAAATGGAGAACGGCACCGCGCCCCGCGAAGAAGAGCCCGCGTCCGAGGCTCAGGAGACGACGGTCACCGAGGGGGCCGCCAAGATAGCCTTCCCCAGCTCCAACGAAGTCTTCTACAACCCAGTGCAGGAGTTCAACCGGGACCTGACGTGAGCAGGGGGCTGGGGTCAGCTTAGCAGAGGGCAGTGGAACTGCAGGGATGAGGGGGTTGTGAGCTAACCCTCAGTCTCCCGCAGATGTGCCGTGATCACTGAGTTTGCTCGCGTTCAGCTGGCGGCCAAAGGAATCCAGAGTGAGTCGAGGTCCAGTCTCCCGGTGGGCGGGGGTCACTCCGAGCTCTCTCCCTGCCCCGCCCCCTTTCCCTTAATGTCTTGAAAGGCTCCAGCCACACAAGCAGGCCCTGGGCTTATTTCTAACTTCAGGCTTTCCCCAGGGGCTTCGAGGAAGATTTTCTTCCCCGAATCTTCTGTATCCTGAGAAATAGGGGGAGGTCTCTCAGAGGGAACTTTAATACCCGCTGACTTGTGCTTCTGGGTGGCTCCAGTCAAGGTGCCAGGTGAGAAGGATGTGCAAAAGGTGGTCGTGGACTTATCAGAGCAAGAGGAGGAAAAGGCTGAACTGAAAGAGGGTGCAAACCTGGCCCCAGGAGACCAACCTCGAACAGCTGCCGTGGGGGAGATCTGCGAGGTGGGGCCTGAACATAGGAGGCGCAGCCCGGGAGTCCTCCAGTAATGGAGGAAGGAAGGCTCCTGAGGCGGGAGAGCTATAGGAAGTGGGTGGTGGGGGCTCCTTGGGGCCCAGCAGAGGATGGAGGGATCCATGTGAGTGGGGGTCCCTGATTACTCCCAACAGGAAGGCCTTCGAGTGCTGGAGGGTCTGGCAGCCTCGGGCCTCCGTTCCATTCGCTTTGCCCGAGAGGTGCCTGGGCTGCATTCTGTGGTTGCCAACGATGCCTCTGCCCGAGCCGTGGATCTCATGTGCCGCAACGTGCAGCTCAACGGTGTGGCCCACCTGGTGCATCCCAGGCAGGCAGACGCCCGGTAGGTTTGGGGCAGCAGAGCCCGATGGCTGGAAGGTGCAGGCTAGAGCAAGGCTGCCTGGCCTCAAATCCCAAGTCTGTCATAGTCTTTCTCTGTGACCTTGGGAGAGTGCCTTAGTCTCTCTAAGCCCCGGTTTCCTTGTCTGTAAAATGAGGATATTAGTATTACAGGAGTTGTAATACTAATGCTGTGTTGATTAAATGAGAGATGATGCTCGTATAGCCAGAAACGTGTACCACCCGTGGTTTCCATTTTAGACTTAACTTTGCAACCTCTGGTACTTTTATTCATTCAAATGAACCAGCGCATATCTAGCGTCCACAATGTGCCAGGCATCAGTAAACAAAACAGACAAAATCCCTGACCTTGGGGCATTCACATTCTAATGCAGGGGCCCTGCAGACAACCTGCAGGTGCCCGGTTTTTTAGGGCCCACCAGCTAAGAATGATTTTGCATTTTTAAAGGGTTAAAAAGGGTACCATTTGTGGCCCACAAAGCCTGAAATATTTACTATCGGATCCTTTACAGAAAACAAAAAGTCTTTGCTATGGAAAGTATTTGCTTTCCTGATTGTATTAAAAGCTGATAGGAGGGGCGCCTGGGTGGCTCAGTCAGTTAATCGGTTGCCTTCAGCTCAGAGCATGATCCCAGGGTTTTGGGATCAGCCCTGCCTCAGGATCCCTGCTTAGCAGGGAGTTTGCTTCTCCCTTTCCCTCTGCCCTGCTTGTGCTCTCTCTATCTCTCTCGCTTTCCCTCTCTCTCAGCTAAATAAATAAAATCTTAGGAAAAGAAACCTGATAGGAAACAAAGACCATAACAAATAATGAGACAAATGAGTAAACTATATAGTAAGGTAGAGGTGAAACGTGCTGGGGCCGGGGGGTGGGGATCGAGGGACGGAGTGGGGGCTGGAGGAAGGTGGTGGGTGGGTTGCAGTTTTAAAGAACACGGTCAGGGCAGGCTACACCGAGAAGGGAGCGTTTGCATTTCCTCGCGTACAGAGGGAACAATCATCATTCCCAATCCATAGATTTGTCTGGAAGATTATTTGATTAACTGAGTTAATAGAGCTGGAAACTGCTTGAAACTGTTGTCCGGCACATGTATGCTACGCGTCTCCGGGCTGTTACTGTTGCCATTGTTAGACGTGAGTACACCGAGGTCCAAGGAGGAAGAGCCACGCAGTTAGCAAACGGCCAAGCCAAGATCTGAACCTAGGCAGCTGGCCCCCAAATCCAGGCCAGAATGGTCACATGGAACGAGAGGACACGCGGAGGGGACAGAGCAGGTCCCTGGGGCAGGGGGCTGAGGACCTGGCCTTCTCGCTCCCAGGATGCTGATGTACCAGCACCAGAAGGCATCGGAGCGGTTTGACGTCATCGACCTGGACCCGTACGGTAGCCCTGCCCCCTTCTTGGACGCAGCCGTGCAGGCTGTGAGCGAAGGAGGTGAGGCCGCGCTGCCCCGGGGGGTGCAGAGCCGGGCTCGCGGTTTGTGCGGGGAGGGTCCTCACCGTGCGGGCCCTCGCAGGGCTGCTGTGCGTGACATGCACGGACATGGCAGTGCTGGCCGGCAACAGCGGGGAGACGTGCTACAGCAAGTACGGGGCCATGGCCCTCAAGAGCCGCGCCTGCCACGAGATGGTAAGGGCGCTCCCCAGCCTCCCCCGCCCTGCCCCGCACACCCGCTTAGCTTCCTCCAGGCATCCAGGGCCAGCTCCGTCCCAAGATGTGGAGGACAAGCGTGTCCATAACCAGCACAGTCCTAAGAGCCTGGGCTGCCAATTCTGGTCGTCTGGGGGGCAGTGGTTTTGTCCAGGGTAGGAGCCAGTATCGTCTGTTTTAACAAGTTTTCAAAATTGTTTTTAAAGGCAGTTTTCAGGTCTGGGTTTGGCTTTGGGCTCACATCTTAGCTTTGCTGGCGTCTTTGGACAATTGCTCTCATCTTTCCGGGCCTTGGTTTTTGCATCTGTGCAATGAGCATGATGGTGATGGGTTGCCATGGGGATTCGAGAAGGCAGGGGCTGGCTGCGTCCGTGGGCTGGAAAGGATGCCGCCTCGTCTTTGTTCCTTAAGGGCCCTGTCATCAGGTCAGTCTGGGAAGCCGGAACACAGGTCTTTGGCGCACAGAATGGGTCACACTGTCGATGCTAACCGAAACACGTTCAGTCTGGGGGGCCCGTGCTCTCCTTAATTGTGCGGTACCCCCAGCAGGGCCATAAAGAGACACAGACTGTCCCGATTTCGTAGGTGAGGGAACTGAGGCATTCACTTGGCAAGGGTCACGCAGCCAGGACACTTGGGGCTGGGCTTGGAGCCCAGGGAGCTGTGAGCCTCTGGGGTAGGGGGAGGCCACGGTGGAGGCGTGGCTGATGGCCGATGCCCGGTTCCCACCTCAGGCCCTGAGGATCGTCCTGCACAGCTTAGACCTCCGAGCCAACTGCTACCAGCGCTTTGTGGTACCCCTGCTCAGTGTCAGCGCTGACTTCTATGTGCGCGTTTTTGTTCGTGTCTTCACGGGCCAGGCCAAGGTCAAAGCCTCAGCCAGGTTAGTCTGGGGCAAGGAAGGGTGATGCATGGAAGGAGGCAACAGGGCCTTTTGGTGTGTGTGTCGGGGGGGGGGGATGATCCCGCCCCGGGGAAGTGGGGGTCCTGATGGGGGTGAAGTTAGCCTGAGGGAGGAGTTGGGGTGTGATCATGCTGGGAACTTAGGGCCACCCCTGCTCCCCCACAGCAAGCAGGCGCTGGTATTCCAGTGTGTGGGCTGTGGGACCTTCCACCTTCAGCGCCTTGGCAAAGCATCGGGAGCCTCTGGTGGCCGGTGAGCAAGGGGGAGCCGGGGAGGAAGGTGAAGAGGGGGCGTCCCAGGGTCACTGCCCCCCAACCACCTCTCTCTCTGCAGGGTCAAGTTCTCTGCAGCCTGTGGTCCCCCCGTCGCCCCCGAGTGTGAACACTGTGGGCAGCGACACCAGGTGAGGCCGGGCAGGGGAAACAAGGGGGGCACTGGGGTTGTGGCTGTCTTGACCCCTCCCATCTGGCCGCTGTGTATCTGTAGCTTGGCGGTCCCCTGTGGGCAGAGCCCCTCCATGACCTGGACTTCGTGGGTCGTGTCCTAGAGGCTGTGAGCACCAACCCTGGCCGCTTCCACACCTCAGAGCGGATCCGAGGGGTCCTGAGCGTCATCACTGAGGTGGGGGCCGGGCCATGATGGGGATGGGGGGGCCCGCCTGTGCCCAGCCATCCTTCCTCCAACCACCCTACATCCACCGTGTCCCCGTCGCAGGAGCTCCCGGACGTGCCTCTCTACTACACGCTGGACCAGCTGAGCCGCACCATCCGCTGCAGCACGCCCAGCCTCCTGCAGCTGCGGTGAGGGTCCCTCAGGGACCTGACCTCTGGGCGCCCTTGGGCAGGTGCAGCCCTCTCAGGCCAGAGTCTCCTGTGAAACAGAGACGCGATGTGCCCATGTGCAGGCGCTGAGAACACGGCGCGGAGGCCGTGCGCCCCGGCGGGGGAGACAGTCGGGCCGGTCTTGCTCTTCCGATTGCTGGCATTACACAGGCCATGAAGCCCCCACGAGCCGTTCAGCTGCACCCGTCCAACCAGGGGGGCTCACACCCACACAGGGCGGCACTGGCTTTGGGGTCCAGCCCCGCACCCCCACCCCCCTGCCGACCGTGGCCCCCCTCGGTCCCCAGGTCGGCCCTCCTCCATGCTGGCTTCCGGGTCTCGCTCTCCCACGCCTGTAAGAACGCCGTGAAGACGGATGCCCCCTCTTCGGCCCTCTGGGACATCATGCGCTGCTGGGTGAGCACTGGCCTGGCCGGCCGGGGGTACAAACGCAGGACACGGTCGGGCCCAGCAGCCCCTGACCGTTGAGCTTTGCCTCCCAGGGAAAGGAGTGTCCGGTGAGGCGGGAGCGCCTGTCGGAGACCAGCCCGGCCTTTCGTATTCTCGGTGTGGAGCCCAGGTATGGCACCGACGGGGCTGCCCACGGGCCGGGGAAGCTCGTGTGTGTGCAGGCAACACGAGTTCCCCCCGACACAGACCCGTGCTCGTTCAAGTGAGAGCCACAGTCTTCCCCCTTGCCCTCCTCCCCCACCCCCGGCCGCCAGGGTAACACCTGTGAGCACCTGAGTCCGATCCCTCTGTGACTCCCACCTCACTCGCTACAATCCCAAGTTGGACCTGCAGGCTCTGCACCATCTGCCTGTGATCTCCCTGTCATCTTTTGCACCCCTCTCCCCACCTCAGTCCCTCCGGGCTGGGCCCCCTCACTCCCAACTCCCCAGGCGCAGCGCCCCCCTTACCGCCTTTGTGACCGCTGTTCTTTCTGCCTGGAGTGCCTGTCCCCAGGTCCCCCGATGGCTCTTCCCTCACCTCCTTCAGGTGTCTGATAACTCCGTCCTGCCCTGCACCCCTTGCCCCGTCTCCCCGTTCCCTTTATCCTGCTCCGTTTTTCTCAAAACTCACCCGTGCCCGAACACAATGTGATTTTGCTGATTTCTGATTTGTCCCGCTGTCCCATGCACTAGGACCTTGGCTTTACTGGTGGCAGGTTTTAGGCACACAGTAGGCACTTGATAAAATGTTTAGTAAGTGGATGAGAGTCTGGAGTCTTCCCGAAGCGCGTGGAGCCGCACTGAGGTTGGCGGGCGGTCTATGCACTCCCGAGGGCATCTGTCCCTCAGCCCCTCCTCACACTTCCCCAGGCTGCAGGCCAACTTCACCATCCGGGAAGATGCCAACCCCAGCTCCCGCCAGCGAGGACTCAAGCGCTTCCAGGCCAATCCCGAGGCCAACTGGGGCCCGCGGCCCCGCGCCCGGCCAGGGTGAGGGGAGCAGGGTGGCGGCAGGGCGTGTCCAGGGTAGGGGGGCACAAAGGCCACATGGGGTCCCAGCTACTCCTCTCCCTGCACAGGGGCAAGGCAGCAGGCAAGGCTATGGAGAGAAGCAGGCTGCACCAGAACAAGAGAAAGGAGCCTGCTGAGGACCCAGTCCAGCGGGCTGCCCGGCTCAAGACATTTCCCTGTAAAAGATTCAAGGAGGTGGGGCACCCCCACCTCCCCCCGCGGGGCCCGGGGATCCCCCTCCCAGCAACAGGACAAGACCCAGGGGCAGGCGGGGCTGGGAGACCTGGGGCAGGCATGGTATGGGGGTGAGCTCCCCATTCAGGAAAAGGACCCAGCAGAGGCTGCTGAGCTCTGGGCCGGGGTTCACACCCCCCATCCTCCCACCAGGGCACCTGTCAACGCGGGGAGCAGTGTTGCTACGCCCACAGCTCCCCAGCACCCGAGGACCGTCCAGAGACTCCTTACCAGAACCCGCCTGGGCCTGGCGTGGCCTCTGGTCCAGGAGTAGACTGAGCCAATAAAGACATGTCATCCTTTCGACTGTCGTTTGTCCGAATGAGAAGGCCGCCTGTGGTCTGTCTGTCCATCTGCCTTGGGGGGCCCTACCTGGAGTTTCTTCCTCTGTCCTTCTCTTTTAACCCCCCCCCCCCCCCGGGGGAGCTCTGGCACTCCGGGGTTTGTTCGTCCCTGCCTAACTGAAGTGCTGTCCGTGTTTCTGTCTGGGGTGTTCTGTCCGTGTGGGGGAGTGGGAACGGACCACCTGCCGCTCGAGGCGCCCGACCCCCCCACCCGCCGTTGCTGGTGCCCGCAGTTCTCGAGGCGGCCACGGGGCGGCAGCCGTGTGCTCGTGCCCGTGGGACCTTTACCGCCCGCCCCTCCCCCCACGCCCCCCTGTCGGCCAGCACGCGGACGCAGGCCGGCTCGCCAGTCACCCAGCTCCTGCCCTGCCTCGCGTCGCCGCCTGGTTTCTCTGGCTGAGCTCCCCATGGGGCCGCGGCGGCGGAAGCCGGACCGGAACCAGGCGCCTTGTGCATCCGCTCCAGACCAGGTGCTTCCTGCCCTGCGGCCCCTCGGGCGAGCACACAGGCTGGCAGGCCCGCTGCTTCCCCTCCCCTCCGGGACAGAGGGTTAGCAACGTTAACGGAGAGGCTTAGGGCACAGTCCCCACCCCCACGCGGTAGCTGTGGGGCCCTCCCAAACACCTTTCTGTCTGCTTCATCCCCAGCCGTCATGACCCTAAGCCTAGAACCTCGCTTGCAGGGGTCATCAGGTAACTCCTGGGCTCAGAGATGAATGAACTCTTGCTTCCCTGGGGCCGTGGGACGGTTGCTGGTGGACTGGCTCCTGGGCTCCGCCAGATTCCTGGGAGGGTGGTGGCTCCGGCTGTTCCCCAGATGGAGGCCCCCGGAGGCAAAGCCTGACCGGCCCAGGTGGGAGGGCCCTGGAGAAAGGGATAGTCTTGTCCCTGCTACCAAGCTATTGCGGGGGGCCCCTGCCTTTGGTGAGGCTCCAGGCCGGTGTTGAGCTCCACCACCAGCCCCAGATACTTGCCCAACGCCTCTTTATCACCATTGTCCCCTCCACCCCTGAAGTGGCCTGCGATGTGGGATGAGGGCCAGAGACCACCAAGTTGGGGCTGTGTGCTCCTGTGGCCTAGAGGATCCGCATCCTGTGGAGACGCGCCGGGGACACCTATTGTGAAGTTCGCCAGCCCTGGCACCCGAGGAAGTCCCTCCCAGCTGTGGCACTTCCTCTCATCCTCCTGGGCCTGAAAAGGGGGTGTGGACAGCAGGCCTGGGGGCCCAGGACACCGGCCCGGGCTGGACCCCCAAGGGCCGACTGTAAGAACGGCCCTCCCTCCAGTGCCCCCGTCTGGGGTGGGGGTGGTGCAAAGCCCGGGAGGGGTGGTGTAAAAAGAGGAACCAGGCCGGGTGAGGAGAGGAGGAGCAGGAGGGGGCCCTGGGTCACGAGGCCCCGGCACTGCCGGAAAAGGGCTCTCCTCCACCCCCATCAGCCCGGACACTTGGGCAGGGGGTGTTCAAAGCCGGAGGCGAAACCCAAGCGATACTGGAGGCGGCTCCTTCCCTGCCTCGGCTTCCCCTCTGCGTGCATCCGGGTACCTCACTCCCAGCTGTGCACTGGGTCGGGGTCCTCAGAGGCCCCGGGGCCACTCCAGGGCCTGGGGGGACGGAAGGTGAGGACCGAGGGGTGACGGCTCGGTCCGTCGCCGGCCGGGGGCGGGGCTGTGAGGCCCGCGCTCGGAGATCCCCGCCCGCCGGTTTCCTCCGGGGTCAGCCCGGCTCCTTATCAGGCGCGGCCAGTCGGCCAGGCCCTTATCTGTGCCGGTCCAGCATCCTCCGGCGCGGCCGGGGGTGAGAGGGAGGAAACTGGGCCGCCGGGGGCGGGGAGAGGGCGGGCCGGCCAGGAGCAGCTCACTTTCCCTCGAGGGATCCACGCTGCCGTCGCGGCGGCCTTCGGGAGCCCGGGAAGAGGCGCGGCCCCCACGCCGCTGCCGGGAGGGGGCGGCAAGCTCCCAGCGGCCCTGAACGCAGAGGCCAGACCGGATCGGGGCCACGGAGCCTGGCCTGAAACCCAACCGCATCCTGGCCCTGAAGGACAGAGCTAGGGCACTCACCAAACAGGAGGACCAGCGCCGGGGTAAGAAGGGAGTCCGCCTGAAGGTGGGGGATCCTGGGAGTGCCTGGATTCATTCATTCGTTCGTTCGTTCATTCATTCATTCATCAGGGGGGACCCACTAAGTGGGAGTCCTGGCCAGCTTCCCCAGGGCCTAGGTAGGGAAGAGGGGGCAGAGGGGCCAGGAGTCCCAGAAGTTGCCGGACACTCCAAGCCATGGGGCCAAACCGTCTAAGCAAAGGAGTGGATGCTGATGGGGATAGGAAATGGGGCGTGGGGGACACCAGGGAGGGCCAGAGAAGGATTGGGACATGACTGTATGTACTGGGCAGTGGGGTCAGGGTTTGGGGATCCTGGGTCAGCATCTTTGATCATAGGGTCAGCAGTGGGGTTTACAGGGTTAGTAAGGGGGACATTTTCAGTGGGGTGGGAGTCAATGGAGCGATTATGGGGGACTTTCAGGGTGTGACATGGAGGCAATGAGAAGAGCCCCCAGGGTCATAGCTGAGGGCCACATGGTCAGCTGGGGGGGGGGTTGGAAATCAGTGAAGGGTCAGAGTCAATTGTAGAGGGATTCTAAGGTCACATGGTATCAATGACGGGTCTCCGGATCAGATCTGAGGGTTACAGGGTCATCCTGGGGACCAGAGGATCCATCACGGGTTCCTTCCTCACCCCCTCTCCAGGCTCCAGGTGAGAAGGATTCTGGAATAAGTGACATTTGCCCAGAAGCTGGGCAACTGAGGCCCTCATGGGTCACAAAGAGCTCAGAGATGGCCCTGCCGAGCTCAGGGCCCCCCAGAGATTCGTTGGCTGCCACCTGCCCTTGCGTCAGATCCCCCTCGCATGTCCTGGTGGTTTCTGAGCCCACCTGCCTTCACGCACCGAACCACCATCCCCCTGCCCTTTCCGTCTCCTTTGAGGGCTCTGTTGGGCTAAGGGATGTGCATGGCATCTGATTCCTCCCTCCCCACTGGCTTCCTTCCCTCCCACAGGTGAGCACCCCCTTGGGGTCCATGTGCCCTCCCCAGGCCCAGGCAGAGGTGGGCCCCACCATGACTGAGAAGGCCGAAATGGTGTGTGCCCCCAGCCCAGCACCCACTCTGCCCCCCAAGCCTGCCTCGCCTGGACCCCCGAAGGTGAAGGAGATGGGCCACCAAGGCTCCTCACCCCCCAGGCTGCCTCCTGGCGTGCCAGTGATCAGCCTGGGCCACACCAGGCCCCCAGGGGCAACCATGGCCACCACGGAGCTGAGCGCCCTGCGGCCCCCACTGCTACCACTCTCTACCCTGGGAACTGTCCCACCGCCCCTGGCCCTGCATTATCACCCTCACCCCTTCCTTAACAGGTCAGTGGGGGGCTGGGGCCTGGGGGGAAGCCAGGGCCAGGGTCCTTGCCCACAAGGCATTAGTGACCCACGACCCCTTACAGCCTCTACATTGGGCCGGCAGGACCTTTTGGCATCTTCCCTAGCAGCCGACTGAAGCGGAGGCCAAGCCACTGTGAGTTGGAGCTGGCTGAGGGTGAGTATGGGTTTGTGCGCATAGATAGCCATCTGCCGGGGCTCCTGTCTGCCACAGGGAAAGGTGTTGCAGGTGTACACAGACATACACAGGACAGTCCACACGGGGACTCAGTACTCAGGTTACACCCATGTGCAAAACCACAGACCCGTGGCCTGGCCCACACAACCACAGCCACCCAACAAGCCACAAAGAGTCATGGCAAAATGCACCATGGCATGGGGGCCACAAAATGACAGCCCCAGTAGAATGCACAGCCACGCAGGAAACAGCCACAGGACAAGAACCACACAAGAGACAGCCACACAACCACAGCCACTTAGGACCATGGCCACATGAGAGTCAGCCACAGAACCACAGCCACATGACCACAACCACCTGGCAACGATCAGACAACCACAGCCATTTAGATGCACCAGGAGTTCACACCTAGGGAACCTCTCGACCCATGTGCACCTCCAGCCACACGCAGGGGCACACTCCAGAATGCAGACCACAGGGACAACTCCCCAGCCTGACAGCCACAAGAAACATGCCCCTAGGAATCTCAGCCATTGACATAAAGGTGTGGACAGAGATACAGAAGGCCTCAGTTGTCTGCAGCCAGGGCCTGTGATGGTCCTTGTCTGCGCTGAGGGGGTGGGGGTGGGGGCCGGGGGCCTCACTAGCTGGGGAGCTACACATGGATCCTACTTGTGGATCCCTCGGGTGGAGAGAGCCCCAGCCCACCGCCTGTGTGGAAGTCCCCACAGGGCTCTGGGTGCCTGAAGCGAGGGCAGGAGGGGGCGCCCCCTGGGCCTCGGCTGCCAACCCAAGCCCTCCCGCTCGCAGGGCACCAGCCCCAGAAGGTGGCCCGGCGTGTGTTCACCAACAGCCGGGAGCGCTGGCGGCAGCAGAACGTGAATGGCGCCTTCGCAGAGCTCAGGAAGCTGCTGCCAACGCACCCGCCCGACCGGAAGCTGAGCAAGAACGAGGTGCTCCGCCTGGCCATGAAATACATTGGCTTCCTGGTGCGGCTGCTGCGCGACCAGGCGGCCGCTCTGGCCGCAGGCCCCGCCCCGTCCGGGCCCCGCAAACGGCCCGCGCACCGGGGCCCCCACGACGCCGCCCGCCGCGGGCCTTGTCGCAGGGCCGAGGCAGTAGTGCGCTCGCAGCCCGCGCCCTCGGCCGGCCCCGACGGCAGCCCCGATGGGGCGGCCCGGCCCATCAAGACGGAACGAGCGGCCGTGAGCCCTGAGGTGCGGTGACCTCCGCAGCGTTGCCTCTGAGCCGAGGGGCACCGGGAACTCAGCCCAGGGCGGTCGATGCCCTGCGCCTGCTCTGGAGCGAACTCCCCCGAAGAGAGACCAGTGAGGACGTCCGCAACGGGGTCTGGAAAGGCGACTGTCGCCCCCAGGGGCCCCGCAGACCTTTTTTTTTTTTTTTTTTCATCACCCACCGCCCGCTGGAAATCGCCTTTTCCCGCGTCTCCCTCCCGGGGACGAGGTCCGGGAACCAACATGGCAGACAGGTCATCGGACTAAAGTGGTGCCTCTTTTTTCCGGGCTGGGTCGCGGAGAGAGGTGGGGAGGGACCGGGGAGTCTTTGCCCTTTTCACCGGCGCCCCCTCCTGGAGACTCGTGGATGCACGCCCCTGGACCGCGTCGGCGGAGGCGCAGAATCGACGCCGCGACCCACCCCACCAATCCCAAACCGGTCCCCGTACGATGGCGTTAGCGAAGGCTCGGGCGCTCTGACTTTTGTTTTTCTTTATTTCTTTATTTCACATACACATTAGCCATTCAATGGAGAAGCCGGAGAGAGTCAGGCAAAGATGGTATAACAGAAGCGCAGTGACGGGGGCGGGGCGGGGCGGGGCGGGGCGGAGAGGGAACAGACGGGCTGGCTGCCTACTTGCATTCCGCTAGGACACTGAAAACCCAGAAAACAAAACAGACAGTAAACTACCCTTGTTTCTTATGTATCTCAGTGCAGAGACGGGGGTGGAGGGCAGAGAGGGGGGAGACCAGGCTGAAGGAGGAGGAGCGGAGGGACAGGGGACGCTAAGGGGGAAGCACACCAAATCCATTAGTACTATATATAGAGATACTCGTATATACTGCGTTTCTTAGCCTAAGAAGAAACTTGTTTGACGGGACGGGCGGCCTTTGCGGTCCGCGATGCTGGTGCTGGTCGGGCGCACGGATCTCCCGGGAGGGGCCGAAGCGGGGCTGGCCCAGGCTGGCTTGGGGGGGAGGGGGGCGCCCCGAGGGTGGGGGGGGAGCAGAGGCGGGGCTGGGGTGCCCCTCGGGCTCTCGATTGGGGGACGAAATTTCTCGTGACTTTATTGCTCCTTTATTTTCTCTCGTGTGTGGGGGGGGGTCCGTTCAGCACGGTCGGGGTGAGGAAATGGTGGGTCGTCTGAGCCACCCGGCCCCTCTGGGACCCAGAGCGCGGCGTCCGCTCCGCCAGCACGGGGGTGAGAACAAGGCACTAGGTCGGCCGGCCAGCGCGGGGGCGGGTGTGTAAGGCAGTCGACGGGGCTGGTTGCAGGGTGGGGTGGGGCTGTGTGCGGGGCCGTGTGCGTGCGTGCGTGCGGGCGCGGGCCTGGGCGAATCGACCTGTCAGCTTGGCTGGTCCTGTCCTGGAGCTTCGAGCCTTCCTCCTGCTCCCCGGTGGGTGACGGGGGTCGGGGTAGGGGTGGGAGGAGTGATGTTGAGTCGGGGGCGCCGGGGAAAAGGGAGGGTAACTACCAACTTGCTGAGCGCGCTCCTGATAATGCTGGTGAGGGTCAAGTTGGCGTCTGGCTCAAAGAAGGGCGCTCGGGGCGGAGAGGGAGGGAGGGAGGGGACGTTTGTTCGTTGGCATTGACCTCTGCGGGGGAGGGGCTGGGGACCCCCCCCGCCGCGCCCCCGTGCCCGGACGGGGATGAGGCGAGGAGGGGGCGCTGGGGAGGGGGCGCCCGGGGAGACCCGCGGCCAGAGCAGCCCAGCCGCCGGGCGTATGCCGCTGTCCCGTTCCGTTAAACTCAACAAAGAAGGGATATGCGTGTTCCTAACAAGTGCAGGATATTTAATTGATTCATAAACTTATGTATAATAGTTTGTGGGTTTTTTTTTTAAACGTACTTTATAATGTAAGAAGCACCAGGGTTTTTATGTTGAATTATCTTAAAAATAATTTTCTCTCGTCCTTTTCCTTTTTGATCTTGTGGTTTTGTTTTGTTTTTTTTAATGTCGAGGTTTTTTTTTTTTAACTCTAAAATGTGAACGTTTCCTTCAGCCCTCCCACCGAAACCGAGAACGAACGACGAAACAAATAAAAACCCCAGATCATCCTCGTCAACGCAGGAAAACGACTTAAAAAAAAAAAAAAAAAAACTGAAAACGAACAAAAAAAAAAATTAAAAAAGGAAAAAACACTCAGCTTTCGTTATCCCCGCGCAGGGCGGGGCAGGCCCAGTTCTTTTAGCGTCCCCAGAGCCGCGAGGACATTACAACAAAAATAGAATTTTTCTTAACAATCTCTTAACATACAAAGATAGGAAAACTCTCTGATGCATTGCACTTGGTTCAATGAAAAAAAAAAGTTCATTTCCCCCATATATATTTTTTGTGGGTTTTTTTCTCTTCTAACACGTCCCCACATCTCCTGTCGCCCTCGTCGCCCCTCGCCTGCCCCTCACAACGACACTTGGGAAAGGAGCGGCCCCCACCCCCCTGCCCGCCCGGGCAGCGCCGCCAGGCGCGCTCCCGCCCCGGCCCAGCTGGCCTGCAGCTTCCGACCTCGCCCGGGCGGGCGCCCCGCAGACCCCGGCTCCCGCGGGCCCACCGCGCCCGCGGCCCCGATTGTCTTCGAGGGAAGGGGCGCGTGCGGCCGGGCAGGGGGTCCCTTCCGCTCCCCTCTCAGCTCTGACCCTGTTTAGCCAACCAAACTGAAAAATCATTGCACTTTGACCGCGCGTCACGCCCGGCCCACCCGGCCCCCCACCCCACCCCCGCCCTACTCCCCACGCCCCCCCCACCCAGGCTCCCGCGGGATCCCCTGTCCCCTGCTTCTCAGTCCCGGTCTTCCCCGAGGGCTGCACGCGGATGGGGGAGGGCCTTCGCTCAACTTCCAACAAAAGCCACTCACGGGGCCAGCCACCTTGTGGCTTCCAGTTGAGGAGGAGGCACCCCTCGCTGGCCCCTTCTGCCCCAGGTCAGGGCCCTCCTCGCCTCCCCGGCCAGCTCCCTCCCCTCCTTCCTCCCTCCCTGCTGGGGCCACAGCCTCACAAACTAGAGTCACAATAAATAAAGCCCACACCCCACCCCTACGGTGCAATGTTGGGTTGACTGACTTTCAGAGGATCCTGACCTGTGCTTTGTGTTTTCATACAGTTAAGAAAGAGAGAGAGAGGCACAAGGACTTGAGAAGGGGGCCTAGGAAGGGAGATGCAGGGAGGAGGGAGTAAGGCACAGAAAGACAAGCCAGAGGGGCCAAGTCACACCCTGGAGGGGGGCTGGGCATGCTCTTGCCTCCCTCCCTCCCAGGGGGCTTCGGAAGACCCTCTGGACTGGCCCCCAACCATCCCGTGGCGGGGAGTAAGGGGCTGCAGGGGGAGGGTGGGGAGAGCTACTTCCTGTGGTGCGTTACCAAATTGTTCCCAAGTTGCTCAAATGGAGGAGGAGTTCCCAATTGCAACGGCAAAAGACCCAAACAAATGAATGCCCCACCCCTAAAAAAAGAGTAAAGACATTACAGCTGAAATCCAGAGAGAAGTGGCCAGGAGGCCCATGTGGTGGAGAAAGTGGCGGGGGCGGGGGGGGGGGGACAGAGAAAGCTCCAAAACACTTTTGAAAAAGGACAACACCCAACACCCTCCAAAGGACTGAAAGTCGGCGAGCAGGACGCCTACCTAGCGCAGGTGGCGCTTAGCCAGTGGCAGCGGCGGCTGCCTCGTCCTCCTCGCTCGGCTCCGGGGTCCCCTTTCTGCTCCACTCTCCGGCCCGGCCACAGCAGGGCTGTCTGTGTGAGGGGCAGGGGCAGGGGCCGGTGGGGCAGAGCGAGGGCACCTGCATGCGGGGCTGGGGTGTGGGGGCGACCTGGGGCCCGCCTCCCCTCACTCGTGGCGCGGCCAGAGAGTGATTTTCCCGGCCTGCGGAGAGAGGGAAGAGGGGGCCTGTCCCAGGCTGGGACGGGCTGTCGTAGCATTCCGACTCTTTCCTATGGACTGTACAGAGGGGTCTGGGGCCCTGAAACTACCCTCGAAGCTCAGGGTGGGGTGACAGAACACCCTCCATTCCAGGAGCAAGAAACTAGCTCCAGGGGCCGCTCCCTGCCCCTACCCCTTCCCGGGGCGGGGTGGGGGGGCTTCTAGCCCGAAGGTAGGGCAGGCAGACCTGGAAGCCACGGGCCTCACCTAGTCCAGAGCAGCTGGGGGAAGAAGCCAGAGGCCAAGGCAGTGGGGGCTGGGGGGCGGGGGAGGGGGGGCGAGAGACAGGCAGGGAGGGGGCGGAGTCTGGAGGGAGAACCCTCTGGATCTGCACCCCATCATTTGTACAAGCTTGTCCTCCGAGCTCCCTAGTGAAGCTCCGGCCCGAGTTGGGGATGGGGTTCCCCTAGGAAGGGTGAGGGTGGAGGACAGGCCCCTTTAGAACTGTGCTGGTCGCTTTGTTGGGTTGATTTCGTTCCTTCCCCGGAAGGACGGGGCAGGGTAGGGTGGGGAGAAAGGCAGTTCTGCTGCATCCTTCCTTCCTTGCTGTCCTCTACTTTAACAGAGTCCGTTTGCAGGTTTCCTTCTGCTTGGCTGCTGGTGCACAGCTCCACCGAGGCCTCTTCCGAGGGCTCTCCGAGAACTGGGCTGCTTCTGGGGGCCTGCAGAGCTCCCCGGGCTGGAGGAGACAAGGGCTGAGTGGCTGACGACGTCTAATTTTTGCTTTTCGGTGGGGCTGGGCCGGGGGATTTTTCCACGTCTCAAAATTTCTTCTCCCCCCGTTTGAGGAACCTCTTCTTTACATTTTGTCATTTCTTTTTGTCGATCTTATCAGAGGAACCAGGACTGAAATGGGACAAAAAGAGGCCGTATTGAGAACAGCAGGGACGAGTCTCTTCTCCATCCCACCTGGCCCGCTGACTTCAGGCCAGAGCCCAAGGCCCCTGGAGGGCCCACCTCCAGCAGAGCCAAGGACAGCAACACCCCACCAAGAGGTACATCCCCATTCTGTCCGTACCTCCTATGGGAATCCTGCCGCCCCCAAGAGACCCTGCCCCCCAGTGCTAGGGTCCAGCTGGCCTTCCCGTGGGCACTGTGCCCAGCGGGTGGGACCCCCGTGGCTGGAGCTGGCAAAGGCACAGACCTGGGATCTGGCCATGTTTCCAATTGTTTAGGTTTTTGTATGGGTCCTGCAGGATGGGGAGGATGCCAGGCTGGAGCTTTTGTCCCCAGAGGGGTTTTGGGAGTGGGGTGGGGGTGGCTCAGCTTCTTGCTGAGTTTTCTTTCTGTCTCTTTGGATTAAAAGCAGAAATTCCCGTCTGTACTCCCCAGCCAAGGTCCCACAGGCTGAAAGGCTGGGGAAGGGGGTGGGGGACACCACATGGCTTCAGTCCCTAGCAGTACCGGCCTGGGGGAGGGGCCCCGTAGCCCACTGTGCTTGATCCTCTACCCTCAGGGCACCTGGCGCAGGGGGAAGGACCCGAGGCTCCCTGGGGCGGGAGTCGCTTCCCTCAGGGTGCCAGCAGGGGGAGTCACCTTCCCACAAACGAGTCTTGGTGGCTCCTCATCACAAAATACACCTGACCCAGAGGCGGGGCTGCTTGGCAATGCCCTCCACCAAAGGCTCTGGCCCCACCTTGTGGCCAGGGGGCAGCGGGGGAGGGGCGGGTAGGGAGGTGTTCTGCTCTATGGTCTACAGGACCTGGGTAGGCCTGGTAGTACCTGCAGGGCCAAAAAGGGGTCCCTGAAAATGTATTTCAGGGCCTCTCCCAGGCTCTGGGTCACAGACTCAGATCTGCAGGAGCCAAGCAGAGCTAACTACTGAGCCAGCACTGGGTAGCAGCCCATTCTACCCTTGCTCCAACCCCACACAGAAGCTAGGCAGGGAGAGGGTGGCTGACCTGCCTGAGGCCACACAGTCTGCCCGCCTGGCCCAGCCAGGACTCAAACATGAGGGACAGCTCCGACCCGAACCACCACGTGTGGCGTGCTCACAGGGAGCCCAGGGCCAAGGCTGCCGCACTGGAGTGAGGGCCCGGGGCAGCCAGATCAGCCAGCTTTCCAAAAGAAGCCAAAAGTCCAGGCAGCACTGCATGTGAAAGTTGTCAGTGTTTAAAACCACTTGTTTCAGCCACACAGATTCTGCCTGCAGGCCGGACCCGCCCCTCAGGCTCTGGGACCACAGGAGGCCTTCTGTGAGATGCACACAAGGAGTTTTAGTGTTACAAAGGGCCTGCTAGATCACCTAGAACCTTCTTGACAATGGAAACATTCTCTGTTTGCCCTATCCCATGTGGTAGCCACGAGCCACATGCGGCTTCTAAGCAAGTGAAATGTGGCTAGGGTCACTGAGGGACTGAAGTTTTCTCTAGTGAGTTATTTCATTTGAACTTCAACAGCCACACATGGCCAGCGCCTGCCCCACTGGATGGTGCAGATGGGGAACATTTGGAAGAATGGGGGTTTGGGGTTGCCACAATGCTGGCGTTTACTGCGTGGGCAGAGATGCCAAACTTCCTGCCACGTGCTGGACAACACCCAGAGGAGACCTGCCCTCCTGTGGCGGGGCTCCTGCAGGAACTGCCCGAAGTCCAACCCCATCAACTGACTAAAGGCCTTTAAAGGGAGGCTCATGGGATACTTGGCACTGCACGGGGGAAACCCAGGCCCGAGGCACCCCGTGAGTTGGGGGGGGCTGAGTCAGCAGCCAGCCCCTGGGCTTCCAGTCCTGGCCTGAGGAGGAGGGAGCTGCCTGGTGAGCCCCTGTCACTGTGGTCTCAGACCTCTGTATTCTCTGAGGCCCCCTTCCCAAGGAGAGACTACACGGGAACCCTTGCAGCACGGCTGTTTGAGCCTGGCCCTCACCCTCCCTGTGAGGGAAAGGAGGCAGAGGACAACGGGGATGTGGAGAGCCTGCTTGGCCCCTCTGTCTTTGTCGGACTAAGCCAAGGAGCCAAGCTGGTCCCCTTGGGGTCCCCTGAGCTGCACGGCAGGGGACAACCACCAGTGCTCAGATTGGGGAGTCCCCCCACCCCCGCCAGAGGAGGAAGACTCCAGTTCAAGGCCTGGAGTTAGGGACAAAGGTGGTTCCAGGATAGCTCCCCAGTGCCTCCCCACAGGTCCCAGGAAAGA